TGAAATGGTATCAGGTGGCACAGGAAACTGGATGGCCGGGAATCCTTCTGCCTGGCTGGCAAGCTGGCTGGCGGTCTGATTGGCAACGTTTAAGACTCTGCAACATCGAAATCCCTGGTCGCAGAAAGAAAAGCCGAGCACATGAACATGAAAAAGAGGTTAATTAACGTGCATTCGAACTGGCAATTATGCCACGCTGCTTTGTGGCTGCCACCGCCCCCACCACCTCTCTCTTCGTCAGTCCCCAATGCCACCCCATGTTGCTGCCGTGCCGTGCCATGCGTACATCAGCAACATGTTGCTCGAAATTGGTTCGGCAACCGGGGGCGTCCTGGACCAAAGTAGCTCTATTAAATGCAAATCTTGCCAGTTCTTTTAATTGCGTCTTGTCCATAGTGTAATGTGAATTTATTTGCCATAAACCGTGAATTATTTGCCCCACTGTGCCGTGGAATGGGGTAGCAACGCCTTTCGCTCGCCTTGAATGGCTAATTGCAGTGACTGTTGTTGGAGCTGCTGCTGCTGCTGGTTTCTGGTGTTGTCGGTGTTGGGTATCCATTATAATGCCAAACAATTAGTGCAATTTAATTAAAGTTACTACAACAAAGGCAATCGCAAGTCATAGAGTTAGAGACAGCGAACTAGGCGATGACCTGGCACGTCACTCAACATCTCAAGACCCCGAATGGAACTCCCACTCCGATTTTCCAACCAAAACGAAAGAAAAAAAATACGGATAGACCGACCGACACCAATCATCAATTATAAAGGCATACATATAAAAGAAATTCCCCGATCACGGAGGCGCCAAAGGTGTTTACGAGGGGAAAAGGGTCGTTGTGCCCCACTGTGCGCGACATTTGCCTTTGGCTTGTGGGTGAGAGGGGCGTGGGGCAAGTTGGAAAGGGGGGCAGCAGAATTTATTAATTAGTTTTGTGTGTTTTTTCGACTCAAAATTCCTTTCTCAAAAGCTGCCTGACCTAATCTCATTCGATTTATTTGTTTCAAGCTCTAATTTATCTGCTGTCTTTGTTGTTGGGTGTGTGCCTGAACCGGCCACACCTAATGTATCCACCAGATACAGATACACTCATATTCGAGTGGAGGGGCTAAGCTGGCAAAACTTGTCAGGCAATTGTATAAACAGCCACTTATCTGATTGCAATCCGAGGTTCCCTTTTCTGATTGACGCATCTCATGGATACTCGTATTCGCTTATTTTTTTTCATCTGCATCGAGGCACGTTTCGTAATCAACATTTTGACATAATAACGGCATATCAGAGTGTCGGCTTTTTGGGACCCGACCCGGGTAATTACAACACGTAATATGCGTAATATTCACAGCATCAAAATGTGGTAAGTGGGCCAAAGAAATGGTGCCGAAGGACGGGCATCAATCAGAGAAGAATGAGATACTGATGGGATGATGAAGTTCGAAAATGTGCTGCATGCTACTTGAACGAGTGCGAGTACCAGTGCGTGGGAATTCGATTCAGATACGGGACTCGGTTTTGGTTCATCAATGAAAATTTCCCAGGGCAACCCTTCGACATGTTGCTGGTATTAATCCCACACTGAGCCATAAAATAATAGACGGGGCAAGTCAATGTGGGGCGCCACGATCCATCTAAGGCTGCGACAATCTTAATCGTGGCTTCCCTGACGAAATGCATTGGGATTTTCTTCACGGGGCGGTTGCAGCATATGTGTATATGTATGTACATATGTATGTGGTGGAAAGCCAGATGCTTTACTGTGTGAGAAAATTTTCCTTGTTGGCACTGGCAGGGTTTTTGCGGCCAGGGGCAACTATTTATAGTCTGAAAGTCTGATGCGTGTGACTTTTCCTTTAGGGGAAAGAGCCGAACCGAGCTAAGCCATTACCAAAGCACTCAACGCGACACTTCCCCAGTCCTCAGTTTTCAGTCCTCAGTCCCCAGTTCGTTTAGAAACGCATCAATTTCATTTATTTGCCACTTGTGGCATGAGCAACAACTGCTGCAACTGCAACACCAACAAATGCATCAGCAACCACAACCATTCCAATTATTCAATTGATTCAATGGAGAAAGGGAGACTGTCTCCGTATAAACAAACATATGCTGACATTGTCGCAGCGTGAAAAATGCTGAAATCTTTGTCAGAATTGTGGCAGCGGAAGCTAACAATTTCACTGAATTTGCAACTTGTGGCAGTGCCAGCAATATGCATATGAAGTTGAACTAGGAAATGCAATTGCTACTCCACATCCGGGAAGTGGCTTTACTTTGCTGTTGCTGTTCCTTCTGAACTACATTTCAATTAGCGCCTCTCACAGAACTCACCCACACATACAGTCACTGGCAATTGCCTTCAATTTGCCAGAACAAGTATCTGGCAGATAGGCAGGCACAAGTATCCGCAAGATACACAGCCTCAGCAGCAATAATTTGCCTTGTCAGAGACACCCAACAAATGCGATTCAATTGCTTTATTCAACTGCGCAGGCGCATAGTTTTTGATCTCAAAGGGGATTAAAGTCTAGAAATTATAGTCCATCATACAGTAACCTTCCACTTTTCCAATTTTTTCCACTGTATCACCGAAACTGAATGCCTTTGAAAACTGCATCCAAAGTGAAAAGATTAATTTCCGTTGCAGCTCGTGTTGCAGTCAAAATTCCTGCTGCTTGTTAATGAGGCGAACATTTTGGTTGATTTAAGTGGTTGGTTGGGGTGTTGTGGCTGCTGCTTAATGTAAATATCTTGTTGTCTGCCCCCACAGTCAGACTGTCGGACAGTCGGACAGACAGCAGACACATCATGACACATTGATTTGTATCAATCCGCGAAACTCGAGACTCCAATGTCTCGAAAGGCCCAAAAGATACTTTCGTATCTGGCGGCTCAGGCAGATGACAGCTGACTTATTGCTAATTGCAGGAGAGCCGGTTATCCTTCTTTATTTTTCATTTTACTTAACGAAAGGCCAAGTGGGCCCCGAAAAAACAAAACGAAATCAGTTCGTCATCGTCGGAGATGGAGACGGAGTCGGAGTCGTCGTAGTCTTCGTCGTTTGTTGGCTTTTTGGCGATCGCTTATCTCAGGCCGGCTGTCAAAATACTTTTAGCGCTGCCTGTACAACTAAGTTGCTCGGCACTCTTAATGCGAAATCTATTAAGACCAGGGCAGGGGCTGCCTTTTTTTCGAAACTCGAATATCTCCTCCTTTTGCCCGAGTTGAAGTGCCCCGTCAATCATTTTTTATTGTGGCTCCAGACATAAACTCATTTCGCCTGCATTGCTGGAATGGAGCCGCCAACGCCCCGCCAGCGGATTTCTTTTTTCTCCCGTCAGTGGGTGAAAGAGGGGGGTTTTTCTTAACCAGAGGCGGTGGGGTCCCAGCTGGCATCTGATCGAAATCTGCCCACATCAGCATCAGCATCCGAAGCAGCCTCTGCAGCAGCTCGAATAATTGGAAAAACGGCTATGGAAATAAACTAAAGTTTGCACTCGTTTCGCATTTCAATTTTTACTCGGCCAGCGGCCACACATTCGACTACAGTGAGAGAAAATTGTAGGCTAAAGAAAATATTAAAATTAAGAAGACATATGGATAAATGGCCAATTTGAGGAAAGCAGGGATGGTATGGCTGATAGGTGGTTAGGCTTGAGACCCTTAAGATCTTCTATTTGTAATCCTAGATTTCTCTCTGTGTCTAAATACACTGCCATCTGATTCAGAGATATAAACAGAGAAACTGAAAACCTGCAAACACAAAAACCCAAAACCCAAAACAAAAACAAACAATTTCAAACCGGAGGAACAGAGAGAAAAGCCACCATCAGCGATCTCCGAATCGATAACCCGAAAGAACCACCGAATGAAAACATTTTCATAAATGCCAAACAAATCAAACAGATAGGAGGGTAGGGGGGCAGCGTTAATTAAACGACAACGAACATAAAATAGCGGCTAGATTTCAATTTAGAAAACTGGAGGGGAAAGCAGCTGCCGAGGCTAAGGGGCTACACTCTATGCATAATTAAGCAAATTAAACGCGTATTTTTATGCGGCACGATGTGACTAAAGGATGGGGTGCCACCGAAGCGATCCAAGAAAGGGGAAGGTATCTTCAGGAAGATAGCGGGAGGAGTCGAGGAGCTGCGGCCTTTTCGCACAGGTATCGCATGTGGCAGCCACAAACAACAGTGGCAGCTATATCCAAGCAGGCAGGCAGGCAGGCGGCCTGGCAGGCAATTTATGAATGCCAGGCTTTGGAGTAGCTTCTACTATCTCTTAGCCGCCGTCTAGTCGAGGCTTATGCAATAAAAATTATATTAAATTACCCAACAGACGCAACGACAAGACAAGCCAATCCTCCCAGATTCGATTCGATTTTATTGAATACTTACGAGCTCAACGAAAGTAGCGATGAAGCCCCTATCCTGAAAATGAAGTATGATTAGGCGAATTTGAAAATACTCTTAAAGAGACTTGAGGAAAATATATAAAATAAAAGTATCTATCAAGGAAAAATTAAAAAACCCAGCGGTTTTTGTGATTAAAGTAATTCAGACTAAAGACTAACTAAACCTACAGCCACTCACCCTTTAAAGATCTTTAAAATTTCTCTTTTCTGAAACTTGGCATGTTCCCCCAATGAAGGGGATCATCACCCGGTGGACGTGAACTGCACCCAAGCCCCATGATAATGATGGCCAGAGCTTGTCCAGACCTTTCAGCTGCCTTTCCTCCGCTTAATGCCATCATTAGTCCACCGCCGGCTACCGGATATGGCTGATCGTTTGTCACTACTCTTTATAAAAAAAAAAAGCTGCAGCTGCACTTGGAAGCGGAATCGGAATCCCCATGGGGGATAATTGCAATTTAAATGAGTGCACTTTTTTCAAGCAGCTCAAGGAAAGCAGCCTTGAGAAATATTTCATTTTTTATTACCCTCACGCATACATACATATATATTTAAAACGGATCGATTTAGGTCGGAGGTACTAAACTATTGAACTATAGAGGCTATAGAGCCTATCCAGATATGCAGGAATTGCGGACGCCGTAGATGGCATCGTTGGCCTCGGGCAGCTTGCACACCTTGCCCGTGGCAGGACGATTGAGGCGATGAGAAAGGACACCCAAATCGAGATTCTTGACCCGCACCATTAGAGTGGGCTCCTTCTCCAGTGAACGACACACAATGCTCTTCTGGCAGTGAGCAGGATCGACAAGGGGGCGTTGCCTTGATGGGGCATCGGGGAAAAGACCTATGGTCTGGGGGCCAACATCCACCCCAACCTTGGTGCTGTTGCAGGAGAGACAGCAGAGTCCTGTGTTGATGAAGCCGGCGGCACGGGGACAGGCCTCCTTGTCCTCGATGAGTTGCAAGCGACGATCGATGTCATCGAATCGATCGCGAATGTACTTCTTCAGAGCCGGCATGTGGACCTTGTCCAGCTTGCTGTCCAGCATGTCCTGCAGCTCCTCCATGGTGCCAAGGAAAGTCAGGTTGTACTCCTGGACCAGAGACCTCAGGTTTTCGATCTCCACCACGCATTGCTTGACCAGCTCCAGCCTCTTGAAGAGCTCCTCGGTCTGCTGCAGGAACCTCTGCAGCGTCAAGTAGAACTGCTCCAGTTTTCGACTGACCTCCTCCATTTGGTCCAGGATCGGAGTGGCGATGCGTCGCATAAGCTTCTTCATAAAGTCCATGTTGGCCAGGAGGCTGCAGGCGATCTTGTTGTCCTCGTCGCAGGCGGTGCAGAGGTCCTCGCACGGCGAAGCGTACTGCTCGGCGGTGTGGATCCTATACTTCTTGTCCTTGGCCCTGTTGCAGATGCGAATCTGCTGGAAGTGGCACTCCAGCTTGGTCTCCAGATCCTTGATGCGCTTCTCCAGCAGTTGCACCTTGTCCAGTTGCTCGGAAATAGGCACAATGGCCTCCACATCGAAGGCTAGGGGGGAGATCTTGGACTGCTGTAGGATGCGCTCCATGCACTTTCCTTCGAAGCCTCGGATGGAAACCATGTCCTTATCGCAGTTGAGCTTCTTTAGGATCACATTCAACAGACTGTGGAGGACGGCCACATTAACGTGGGTCAGCTCCGGCACTCCCACAGCAATCCTCACCATCTCCTCCAGGGTTAGCTCCACATTAACCGGCATTGTGAATCAAAGTTGAAATATTTTTAATATTAAATATAACAGAGGCTCCGATCTGTACTAATGTGAGTATATTTCTCGGTATTTCTAGGTGGTTCTGTCACTTTGACGATGACAACTATGTCAATGTGCCGAGGCTGGTGAAGCTCCTGGACGAGTACAGTCCCAGCGTGGACTGGTATCTGGGCAAGCCGAGCATCTCATCGCCGCTGGAGATCCACTTGGACAGCGTAAGTGCAAATGCCTGTTATTTCTGCATATTTTCCAGCATATAGTTCGTAATTACAAGTCTCGCCGCGATCGCCTTTCTCCATCTCCATGGAGTCGCAGTCGGAGCCGTGGCCGTTATTTATGTGGCCACCAGAGCCATTTGTCTATGCCGCCATTTGGCTTCCAGCTGCCAGCACAGGCTATCATTAATAACCGATATGATCTGGCGCGGCAATAGGAACAGCAGCCGAAGCGAAACCCATAGATACAATAAAAGCATGGCCCGAATCCAAAGAGTCCCAGTTCGGGTCCGAATTTTAACCCGTTTTCGGTCCGAGAGCCATTTGAAATATCACCAGCTGATCCAGTAATGAATGTGCAGCCTGAGCCTTATCGGAATATATAATTTAAATACACTTAAAAATATACATTTAAATCTTAATATTAAATATTAAAGATTCAAGTTCCTGGCTCTCTAAAGCCAACCCTTCTCCGATCAGAAAAAAAAGTAAAAATAAAAGCCAAACTTTACGCTTCATTTGCTGGAGAAAGATCCTGTCAAGTCTCGGCTTACGCTTCGGCCAGACCCATGTATTAAGTTTCCATCTCGCACATGTCCATTTACATGGTCAATTAATCAAGCCACGTTTCGGGTTTTGGCCATGGCTTATTTATGTTTTTTGGGTAATTTTTCGTTCGAGACTCAATTTTCTCTGGGCCATTGCCAAAAACTGAAAACCAAAACCCAAAAACCAGAAATGAGGTAGATGAGTTGGATATTTATTTAGGTTTATCCTTTGGTCTGACCTTCCTTGTTCGGACCCATTCATGAGCCAGTTCTTCCGTTAATCTCGGCCCTTTTGCCTTTTCTTTTTTCTCATTTTTGGACCTACAGAAGAACACGACAACGAACAAGAAGATAACCTTCTGGTTTGCCACTGGCGGCGCTGGCTTCTGTCTTAGCCGGGCCCTGACGCTCAAGATGCTGCCCATAGCAGGTGGTGGCAAGTTCATCAGTATCGGCGACAAGATACGTTTTCCGGATGATGTCACAATGGGGTTTATTATCGGTAAGTTTATATTCTTAAAATATAAAAAATTAAATTATTATAACTGAGAAATATTTACAGAACACTTGTTGAAAGTTCCACTAACTGTGGTGGACAACTTCCATTCGCACTTGGAGCCCATGGAGTTCATTCGCCAGGACACGTTCCAGGACCAGGTGTCCTTCAGTTACGCCCACATGAAGAACCAGTGGAACGTTATCAAGGTGGATGGCTTCGATCTCAAGACGGATCCCAAGCGATTCTACTCCCTGCACTGCCAGCTGTTTCCATACTTCAGTTTCTGCCCGCCCAGATGAGCTGGGGTGGATCCAGATCCAGAACAAGGATCCCCTCCCGGTGGATCCTCAATTGGCTGTTGCAGGCGCACGTCTGCCCAGGGCAGGCGTCAAAAAACCAATCTCGCCACTGTGATCTAAACTTAAGTGTATACGAGTTAACAAATCGGTTCTTTTGTGTAAATATATATGATGATGTATTATTTAACAGCTTCCGGCTGGAAAGGTGTGCTTCCTAATGGTCTAAGTTCTACTGTAGTCTTAAGTCTGATGCAATTCCAACACACTTCCAAGTGCTTCCCTATAGCGTTACACCGATTCATCCGATCGACTTAGTGCTTACCAACTAACCTAATTAGTTAAATTAATGGTCTAGTCTATGTTTAAGTTCACTTGGCTTCCGAGAGACCACATGACCCTCTTTTGTGCATAACTGTAAAGCAGTCTAATATCGGCCTAAACTAGCAATATGCGTGTATATAGTAGACCCTATTGTCCTTATGTTTTACAAAAAATTGTTAATCTTTAGTTGGCTTAAATAAAATAAAACATATTATTGCAAATGATATAAATATTTGAGTTAACTTTTATTGGAAATGTAAGCCAATTAGTATTTTATTAAAAAATTGGCATTAAAGTCTGAAAATCTGCATCGAGGGTCCTTGAACTTGGCTGTTTTTTCGATGTTACTGCGGTTGGCCGGCTTATCGGCTTCGTGTCACCGAACATTCTGTCTACTTGTTGTTCCAGCCCGCTTCCTGTTGCCGCTGGCATTTTGCATTTTTACGAAAATTCGTTGTTAATTAACGCTAAAAGCCATGTTTAAGCCACTAAAGCGTTAACTTTAAACGATATGGATCAGCGACATGGCCGGAGACAGTGAGAGGGAGATAGACATTGACATGTCCACGTCGATGGTCGATGCCGTTGCCGTTGCCGTTGCCGTTCCCGTAGCCGATGTTCCTGTCCGTGTCCATGTCCTGGCCAGACAATAAGAGCCAGATTGAGGGTGCCAGGGTAGCAGGGTGGCAGCCAGCCTCGGATGCCTCACGATACGGCATCTACTCCAATGACATGTTGCGAATTTTTATAAAAGACTCACTCACTCACAAACTCACTTGCTGGCTGGTTGGCTGGCTGGCTGGATAGCTGGATCTTCTGAGGCTGCCCCAACTCTCGTGATATGTTAAACAGTTCTGGGCAATTATTTTTTTCGCTTCGTTTTCCTTACTGCTGATGCTGATGCCGATGTTGTTGGCTGGACGGTGGCTTAGTGGTTCGGGGTATCCAGTTTTTAGTTGGCTTATATGCAGATAATCAGTTTTTAGTCCATGTCGGAGCTCAGTTTGGGGTGCGCTTTAATGAATGAAAGCTGCCTCTCCTGGTGGAGCCTCCTGTCTGTCTGCCAGGAGGAGCTTGGGGGATGGAACTGCAATTTTTTGTGCCTTGTTCGTTTTAATTGCAAGTGAAATCCTTGTCAACGCTGTCGGGTTGACTGCCTGCTAGCCTGCCAGCCTGTCTGTCTGGAGGTCTCTGTTCGGTCGTCTGGAGTCAGAGCATCGATAATGAATTAATTATCATATATTAAAAGTCAGTTTGCAACAGTGGCCCCTTCTGATAATCTTCTTTGGCCGGGCACGCCTTTGCATATTTTACGGATTTAAGAATTTAATGAACTCCAGAAGAGAGTTCCCAAAAAAAAAAAAAAATAAAGAAGATCTTCTTCCCAGAGACCCTTGAACGTTTTCGTGTTCATTTAGTTTTGTGGCACACGCATTTATTTTTCTTTCGACTTTGGGTTTTCATTCATCGCTTCTAACCACAAGGTGGTGGCAGGGGCAAGTGGGCCATAAAGCCGAAAGATAAAGTCGTAACTGAAATCCAGTGGCAATAACAAAGGCATCCCAGCATTTTTCACTTCGAGTTGGCGCCGCCCACGAATCGCAGTTAACGGCGGACGGATGGGTTTCTTTTGAAATCCATTTAATTTGTGGTTAGCTCTGGCCAAGTGATTCATTAGATACAAATTGGAGTGACTCCCCCGAAAATCTGTTCTCAGGCTTTGCTTTATTTATGCAAAATCATAATTTTAATTGAATCTCTCGAGATTGTAGACTCGAACACAGTAGTGTTTGGTTAAAGGATTTTGACTGAACAATGTATCTGACAGCAAGTTTTCTTTGGCAGCTATAAGCCTTGTATTTTTAAGGGTATTTTCTCCTCATTTGTATGCAGAGCAGTCGACGAGGCGCAAATTACACGAGAAAATGTCCGAAACAAGCTGATCGGGCGATAAAGAACGCAAAGTATCTCGTAGATGCGCAGCCCTGACCATGTTCGAGTATCTCTGTCTCTTCGGGCTCTTCAGTGCGATGCTTATCGTCAGCATCGGCACTGTCTTGTCAACCCGGAGGTTTGCATTCAATTTTGGCTGCCAGCAAAATGCCTGGCTCTTGGCTCATGGCTCCTCTCCCTGGCACCTCGATCCTCAAACCAGTAGCCGCCAAAAAAGGTACGCGGGCAAGCAAATAATTTGTCCGTCTGAGGCAGCGTTTTTCTGTCCTGCTGCCAGCTCGGACTGACTGCCTGCCTGCCTGCCTGTCAGTCACCCAGCTAGTCTGGAAACTATAAATTAGTGCAGCAGCAGGAGCTGCTCTGATATATGGCTGAAGCGGCCCGGGATCCGGGTGCGAGAGGGAACTCCGCACAACGCACACCACACAACACCCAAGTGTGCCGGCCCCTGAATTTATGTTGTGCATGCCAGCGATCGGGGCGTGGATGCGGAATGGGGCTCGCTATTCCAGAATCAGTTGAGCATCAGCAACAGGTGAAACGAGTGGCGGACTAGATCAACTGCCATGCGGTAGAGAGTGCCAGAGTTCCTATTACCCTGGAAATGGATCAGGGTATATCAGGAACTTTAATAAAGCGGATGTACTTTTAAACATTCTCTTTATAAAATCTTTTTTAAAAATAAATATTTGATACCGTGAATTCTATTCTAAATTTTTAACTTAGTCTATAAATTTTATAGAGGTCCTATATTTTCATATTTTTGCAATTTTCATGATGGAAAAGTGTGTATAACTCGTATAATTTTTGGCAGATCCTAAAATGTTATACCTTCCCGATCTTCGAACTTGCAGTGGCGTCATATTCACTCAAAAACTGACAACAACAGGGGTACCGTCACAATTTTAGCCAAAAATTGGTCGAAAATTCTTTTCATAGAATTTGTGGATCCTTGAATGCAGATCGAAGGAGATTGGATCTATGATTACAACATGGTAATCCGTTTCTTAATTGATAGCCCAATACCTAAAATATACGCTAAAAAGTAAGTAAAAAGTTTACATTTTTAACAAAAATAAAATTGATAAAAATAGTTTTAACATTTTTAATTTTCGTCATGGAAAAATGGGCATAACTGGGCTAATACTAGGCAGATCTTGAAATGTCATACTTTCCCGATCTTAGAACTACGGTTAGAATCATTTTCCACCAAAACTGGGCAACAAAATTTTTTG